TAATAAAATTTAATATTATTTTCTTATATTGTTAGACAATTTAATAATTTTGCCCCATCTTAATATATATTTTTTGCACAATACTAAAAAATAATAAAATATTTTATGATTTTACTCACCCTAAAGATAAAGCCAGTTCCATCCCTGCCCGTATTTTGAATTAATCTCTACTTTTGAACTAAGCATCCTTGAGCTAGACCTTTGTTATCACTTCTGTTGCCGCCTCCTTTCTGAGGACAATAAACTATAGAAGCTATGTCGTTTTGAAAATGATTAAATGGTTGTAGAATAACTTGATCCCAATCGCTGAGGCTTGTTAGTGACATTGGATGCTTTCTCTTTGCTTGTCCCACTAACATTGTTTACAAAACTATTTAAGATTTAAGAAAATTTACATGCACCCCCACACAGTTCTTATGCATTTACATATCTAACAGGTAGTTTGAAACATCTTGGCATTAAAAATCTATACATGAAAATATGTATTTTATTCTCAAGAAATTGGTGATAATGTTATTAAATGACATGATGTCAAATATTTGAGTGTTTTGCATGTAAATACGAGTGTTTAACTAGGTGTTGGGTATGCGAATATATAATAATTGTGTGTATATATGTAAATGTCTCCTATATATTTACATCCTCAATTTGTTCCCTTGTCAAAGTATACGTAATTGTCTTATTTTTCAATATTTTCCTAAATAATAATTGATTCAAGCTCAGGCCTCTTATATATTAATAACAAATCAAGACTTGCTTCTACATTATCATTTATTTTTTTAGATATTCATTACTGTAACAAAAATATTGCCAAACATATTTCTTCTAAAATTGTATTTCATTATCATCATGACAAATATTTACTTACTTTTTCTGTTCATATGTATTTTCTCAAATTGTATTTCATCACTGTATATATTACATATTACTAAAATTGAAACACAACTGTAAAACTGAACTGAATTAATCAAATTTACGGGGTTCTTTTTGATTTTTTAAGTTTTGACTAAACAATGCACTTCTCATAGTGGATATCAAAAAAATTAAAAATAAAAAAAATCATAGTTATTTACTTTTTAAAATTGAAATATACACTTTCATCTATAAATTCATGACACCAAAATGTTCCAAGTTCAAATACCAAATTTTAGATGTTAAATATGTAAATACACAAGAATCGAGGGGTATGCACAAAAATTTTCCTAATTTGTCAACTGCCACATGTATATATGTTGACAAAACTGAGGTTTGTTTATTTTAAACTAATTTTAATAAATTTAATCAATGTAATACTATGATAAAAACTACATGGAGAGCGATAAGGTGAAGTTGAAATAAAAGTAATAGCTTTTGAATTGCAAAAGGGTGAAGAAAATTGAAGATGATCGACTAAAAGCAACAGATATCTTACAGAAACATTGAAACATATTTATTTCACATTTAAAAATCATAATAAAGATAAGAAACTAAGTCCAAAAAAGGATTTTTTTTGGCCCCGGTAGTGGTAGTGGTAGGATTAAACAGCTGACTGATTATTTTTCTGCAGAAAAAGCAAAAGGAAATATAGCATCTCCTTCCTATGTCCTCCTCCTCCTCAAGATCCATTCATAGCTGACACTAAACCCTAATTAATTAGTAAATTCATTACTAGACTAATACTTCCTTCACCACCTTCTGAAAATTTAAAAGGGAAGATCCACCCTTTTCCAGAGCTCGAAGTGCACTCTCCTTCCACTTCATCACATTCTTCCTCATCTCCTTCCCCCTTGTTTCCCCAGCCACCATCTCCCTCACGAGCTCCTCCACCTCCGGCCTCTTAACATCATTGTCAATCTCCATCCCCACCTCCCATTCCACACAAGCATACCTGCAATTAGTCTGTTGCTCCGCGAAGAATGGCCAGCACAATATTGGCACGCCGGCGGTCAAGCTCTCCAGGATAGAGTTCCAGCCGGCGTGAGTCAGGAAAACTCCCACCGCCGGGTGCAAGAGAACCCGCTCCTGCGCGCACCAGCTCACCATCTTCCCCCTCCCCTTCGTCGCATCAATAAACTTCGGCGGAAGAAGCGCGATCTCCCCTTTGACCAGATCTCCCCTAATCACCTACAGAAAGCTGTAACCACTATTCGCCAGCCCCCACGCAAACTCGGCGAGGTGATCGTTGTTCATCACAGTTATGCTGCCGAAATTCACGAACACGACTGAGCGAGGATCGTGGCCGTCGAGCCATTCGATGCAGTCGGATTCTTCCTTCCAGAGGTTGGCGCCGGTGGATTTGAGAAAGGGGTTCTCTGGAAAATGGTGGGAGAGCAGGTTGAGGGGGCCGACGGTGTAGATGGGCGGCGGGAGAAGGGAGGACAGGGCGTCGAGAACAGGTCGTTCGAGTTCATCGAAGGTGTTCATGATGATGGCTTTGGCCTCGACGATCCGACGGGCTGCGCTTCTGAGGAAGTTAAAGAATATGTCGTCGGGATCGGTGGTTCGAAGGAAGGAAGGCAGGTCTTTGAGCCGGATGTTCTTCATCCCTGGGATCCAATCCACCGGCTCGTCCAGATATCCGTTGTTCAGCCAGCTTTCATCTTCAGAAAAAAAAAAAAAAAAAAAAAAAAAAAAAATTAAAAAAAAAACAATAATAACATATTAAAATAGCAGGAGATCTGAAAAATAGCCACTTGCCATTAAAATTTTCGTTTTTTCTAAGGAGTGTCTACTGAATTGTTGGAGAGTGAAGCTGTCAGAATAAAAAAAACTTAATTTTTAGAAATTTTTAGATATTTGATCTGGCGAATGACCTTTCAGAGGTGAAATGCCCCGCAGGACGAGGTCGTGAAAGTGAAGATAGCCCATTAAACCGCAAGCGCTCGCCGTCCATAAGGCAGCGACGGGGATGCGAAACTTGTCGCCGGCATCGATGCAAAAGCTCATCATGCCGTCGGCAACGATTTGGGTGACTGGGGGGACGCCGGAAGAAGGGTTTTTGAGCTTCTCGAGCAGCTCGAGAAAGGGCCAAAGAAGGAAGTTTTTCTGGATGGATGTGCAGAGAGCCTGGAGATCCTGCGTGGCGTTGAGATCGGAAGGCGGCATGCCGTCGGGAATGGCTTCGAAGCGGAAATCCGGCAGGCCCGCGAGGGCTGCGGATCCCTGAGACATGAAGAGGCGTTGGTGGTTGAACTCGGTGTTGACGAAGGTGATGTGGAAGCCATGGGAGTGGAGGAGCTTGGCCAGCTTGAGCATCGGAGTTATGTGGCCTTGGGAGGGATAGGGAACCAGAACGGCATGCGGTTTATCACGAACAACAGAACCCATGTCGTACCTCTCGCACTCTACCTTTCTATTTTGCTCTGTTATTTCAATGAGGCTGCTTTCTTATAAGAGGCTCACACCATCAGCTACTCGAATCTTGAAAGAGACTATTTTTATATTATAGTTTTTTATTGGGGCATTTACATAAGTACCGTTCAATTCTTATGTATTTATATATTTAAGTCCTAAATTAAAATTTTTACATTTATACCACACAAATATTTCATATCACATTAAAAAATCATCATTAAATTTTAAAATATAAAAAATATTTTTTTTAAGTTGTAAAAAATTACAATGTTAGTGTTTTTATATAAATTTAGAGAAATTGAGTGGTATTGATTTAAAATTTAGAGTTTAAGCGGTTTTTATGTAAATATAAAATATAAATGAATTGAGTGGTATCTATCAGGCCAGCTGTCACGAATAAACTTGTTTAGACCATTTTTTTATATTTATTTTAAAATTTAAAAGTAAACTAACTTACCTTATAAATCACTTATAATATTTAAAAAAATATTTTGAGTATTTTATAAATAATTAAATATATTGTAACACATCAATTATATTTTATTTCAAATAAAAATATTAAAAAATAAAATAAAAATTAAATAAAATAGGAACAAATAAAAGAAGGAAGATTTACATACATAACACTTAAACTTATGTATTTACCTATTTCACACATAAATTTCAATTTTTAAAGATAAAGCACCTTACCCAAACATGAACAGATGTACTTCAATGTTCCCACTCTATGAAAAGGATAAGCTAGGTGATGTGCCCATAAAAATTGAAGTTTAGATGCGTGATAGATAAATACATAATATTTGGGTAAATTCCCCATAAAAGAAATGGCCACGTGAGAATTAAGTAGTTGTTTCTGACATAAAAAGAGCTCATAACCAACCTATTTAGTAGAGAAGCATGCATTTATATGTTGAAATGAAAGTTCCAAATAACTAAAACTTAACTATGGCTACCTAATGTACCCGACCATATCATAAGGAATTGTTGAAATGATTATATAAGGATCATGTAATTTAATAATAATTTAATATAAAACCTATTTTTATGTTGAAATGAAAGCTTCGAATAACCAAAAATTAACTATGGCTGCCTAATGTAACCGACCATAAATATTGTTCCAATCTTGAAATGAAAGTTCAAAACAACCCTCATAAATATTCTTCAAATATAAAAAATATATATATAATTGTTATCTGGCACGACATGTAGCTTTCTTGAGCGTCCGTCCAAGGAGGAGTTATTGGATATGAACGGTGTTGATTACATGGGAGGCTATTATTTATTATTAATTCTTTCTTTGGCCACCTGCCCGGCCGTAGAAGTACAAAATAATTTTCCCTACCGAAGGCAGCCATGTTTATTGTATTGGAGTTTATGTCGGCGCCAGTCGATATGACAAATTGATTTGCTAAAGTCAACACTTACGTTAGACCCAATTGGAGAAAAATTTTTGCTTAGGTACATCACGGAGCTTATTCAAAAGGTTTTGAGGGATTATATCCGTGTTATATCTCCTATAAACTCACTGTAATTTACCTGCAATCTATCTGTAAACTCAAAGTGTTTTAGGAGGTTATATCTGCATTATACCTCCTGTGAACTCACTGTAACCTACCTGTAACCTATCTGTAACCTATAAATATATGAAAACAGAAGCACAAAACTTACTAGAAGGTACAAGTAATTTACAGGCAGGATACAAAGAAGTTATATGGGATATAACACTGATATAACCCCCAATATCCTCTGAATAACATTCCTGACGCACACAAGCACAAAAATTATCTCGGCCCAATTGATGAATGAGCTGTGCAGATTTGGGTTCGACTCCTTAAGCTAAATTATTTAAAAAAAATAAATTCCTCAATTTACTGTTGGTTGCCGCTAGAGATGATTGCTGCTTCACTCAACTTTCATGTGGACCAAATCCCTCACGAGTTTCTCAAGATTTGCAAACGAGGAGCCGCCGGGCTCCATTGCTCTCGTTGCTTTCTCCTTCCACTCCAAGGCTCTTCTCTTCATCTCCATCCCCTTCTCTCCTTCCATGGCTTCCCTCACCAACTTCTCAACTCCATCCTTCTTCACCTCTCCTTTTATCTCCAGTCCCACTCCCCACTCTTCGCAAACATACCGACAATTCGTCGGCTGCTCGGCGAAGAAGGGCCAGCACACCATCGGCACCCCCTCGCACAAACTCTCCAGTGTTGAATTCCACCCACAGTGCGTCAGAAAGACTCCAATCGCCGGGTGGGCCAAAACTGCCTCTTGGTCGCACCACGCCACCACCTGTTCGACGTTTTGCCTCAATTAAAAAAATAATCACTTTTTTAGCTAGTAAATGTTCGGAACTGATTTTACCTTCGTTCTGTCCTCCGCCTGCTTGACAAAATCTTCCGGCAAAGCCGCAGCCGCACCACCACTGCTCACCATGTCCGGTCTGATCGCCCAAAGGATCGGATATCCGCTGCCGGCTAAACCCCACGCAAATTCCGCCAGCTGCTGTGCTGACAGTACAGTAATGCTTCCGAAATTTACATACACCACTCTCCCCCGCTCTTGCCCTTCCAACCAATTCAGACACTCTGAATCGCTCTTCCATAGACTGGATCCAATCATGGAGGCTTCTGAATCCGTGGCAACCAGGCTATTGAATTTATTCAGAGGACCGATGCTGTAAACGTTGCTGAACTTGGCCCTGACAGCAGCGAGGACGTCAGGCTCAAGGGTGTCGAAGGTGTTGAGGATAAGCCCGATGCCCTGTCTTGCTTCCTCATGTCTCTTAAGCATGATTTGCGACATCAGATCTGCCGCGTTGGTGGTGCGGATGAAGGTCGGCAAATCCCGGAGTCGGATTCCCTCCATTCCGGGAATTAGGTCGATCTTTGTGTCGAGGTATCCATTAGTTAAAAAGCTCTCATCTTTAAGCGGCGTATATCCTCTCCGCACGAGTTCCGCGAAGTTTATGTAGCTCCAGAAGCCGCAGCTACTGTGTGTGTAGAATAGCCAAGCGGGGATACCGAGCTCCATTGCTACGGCTGCGGAGGAGCTCATGGAGCCGTCGGCGATGACGCAGGTGGCTGGAGGGGAAAGAGAGGAGATGAGTTGGCGGAAGAAGGCAGGACAGTGCTGCCGTGTGGAGGCGCAGATGGTGGGTATGTCCTGTGTTGCGTCGTTGTCGAAGAGGTTCGGAGGGAGGCCGTCGGGGATCGCGGTCAGGTGGAATCCATAGATGGCGTTATTTGCTGCTGCGGCTGCGAAGGAGGATGACCGAAGGAGGCGGCGGTGAGTGAAATCGGTGTTGACGATGGTGATGCGGAAGCCGCCGAGGATGTGGAGGAGCTTTCCAAGGGTGAGGATTGGGTTGAGATGGCCTTGCGCAGGGAATGATAGCAAGACGGCGTGCGGCGTGCTTACTGCTTCTGATGACGACTTTGCTGCCGGCGATGGCGATGAAACCATTTTTTTGAGACAAAAACTCAGAGAAGAAAGATAATAATTGCTAAATATTGCAGTAGTTCAATTCGAGCTTTGTTGGTGTCCTCTTTTTATGATTGTACCTACCCTCTTCTTATTGAAAAAATATTACCTCAGGAGTACTGATGCTGCATCAGTACTCCAACGAGGGGGTGCCATGTAGGCAATGGTCCCACCGTGGTGCCTACTGACACCCCCTCATTGGAGTACTAATGCATCAGTACTCCTGAGGTAATAATTTATCGTCGCTAAAAGTCATTATCATGGTTGAGTGAGTGATTATTAAAGAAATATAATTTAAAAAAAAGTTGATTAAAAGTGAATCAGATCAAACTCAATTTTTTAGTTGTTAGGGATATCACATCAAAGAGTGGAAAACAGTTTAGCTGAGCTCCAGTCATGATAAAATTGAGTTCGGCTTGCCTATCTCATGCTTGGCTCGAATTAGAGCTCTTCATGTCAAATGAATGCTCAAACTAGATCGCAGAGCTTAATTTCCTATCTCTTGGTTATCAAGTCTTTCACAATAAACAATTGTTACATGTGACGACTGCATATCCGGATAATAGTTCAGAAGAGCTGCCTTGCAATCCATGACGGCATGGCCTCATCCGAAATGTTCTCCGGACGCACGAACTGTCGCACGCACTAATTTTTCCTCTACAACACAGAAACTTGTAAGTCACATGAAAATCTTGATTGGAGCTCATTGAGGAATACATTGACGACAAAACAAATCACAATGAAAGCTAGAGAGCTTGTGGGAACGGGCAACCACATCTAAAATTTGAGAAAGTTGATGTAGGAGATCACTATAAAAGAAATAGAATTTACAATTTACCAATTCAATCGAGTTGGCTTGCGATCCAATGAGCTAAGTTCCGTCAAGCTCAATCTAGAGCTTGTGTAATAAATGAGTCGTAATTTGAGATTAAGTTTGAGCTCACAACTCAATAAGCTTGACTCATAAATTTGTAAATGAGTCAAAAATTTTGCCCATACTACTGTGCATTGATGGATTAATTTTTTTTATATATAGATAATGACTTTTTATGGTGAAAGTTGTGCAATTCCAAACATAATAAAATTCAATTCTTAATTGTTCTCTTTTATATCTTCTTTTATGAAATATGTTCTCAAATTACTTGAGTTCATTGATCATCCACCAAAATAAAGCTCGTTAATTGATTCACAGTCAACAACTCAATGAAGCATATGAATCATATTCCATCAACACTAATCCTAAGGCTTCAAAATATATCAATGTGCCGATCTCAATATAAATCCAATCTTTCAATTTAGATTGCTATCAATATATATCCAATCGTATGATTTAGGTCTTATTTGGTTTGACGCTTTATGCTGAAGTTCTCTATCAAACCCTTCATAATTGCTAACGAATAATGGTCCAATACAATCTCAAAGTCATTGTCACTTGATTATCCACCTTCTAATCAACCTAAGAACCAAAATGCCTTTAATCAAAGATTATTTTACTATTATCATGTCTGTAAGAGATAGCACGACTCATATTAATCATATATTCCATCATGACATTAAAATAACATCATCCAAGTTCAAATAATGAACCACCTACGAAGCTCCATTAGGCACTAAAGATCATAAATACCCATTTTAGATTTTGTTTTCATCCAAAATATCACAGGGCTCTCATTGGTAGCATATATATAAAAACTTATTTTTGAAATGAATTTGGCTTTCACTTCACTATATGTGAAATCAAGAGCATTAATTACAATTAGGAGATTGGTGGAGCCTAAAATCTCTACTTATTTCTAATCATGGAAAACTAAATGATGGGACCAGCAAAGCTTTGTCGGTTCCCAATGTGTTCTCCATTCTACGGAACCAAATAGGACTTACATTACAGAGCTCGTTGAAGTTAGCAAAGAAATCAACAAACGGCCAAAAGAGCATCTCTCGTAGCCAACACAAATACCAAGCTAATCAAAACAAAATATTCCTCCCATGAAGGTTCCTCGAAGTTTAAAAAATGCTATTACGTGTAGGCAACGTGTAGTATATTAATTAGAAATGAAGTGAAGAATCTCATGAGAAAAGCCCAAGGAGGATTTACATGGATAACACTCAATTCCTATGTATTTACATGATTAACATCTAAATTTTAATTTTTAAATGTATGCCACTGATGCATGAAACTATGACTTTCACATTTACAACTGGTCTTTTTGATGCGAGAGGAAAGGTTTGGGTTGTCTGAATGTAAAAAAATAAATTTTAGATGTTAGATATGTAAATAAAAAGGAATTGGATGGTATGAATGTAAATTTCTCATAAATAAAATCTATAAATATATAAATCTATGACAAAAAAAAAATCCTGATCTCAAAGAGTGAGTTAAATCCCAAAATTCCAGTTATTCATTAGAGGGATTATTCTTGGCCAAAAATCCGCAGCAGAGAAACTCCACTTGAGCAATAAACTGTCATTACAAGCTGGCTAATAGCCATGGTTGTGGTTATCCTGTTGAAGCTGAGGTCTAACAGTGAGATAGGGGCTGGAAAGTAAGTTGAATAAGGGCAACAGGAATAAAGCACAAACACTGCTATAAAAACATGGAATAATGTAAGATTGGATCGTCCCAGAATGACAGACACAGCTACTGCAGCTCTTGTTTCAGAAATTAACTTCCAAATTGTGATAAAATTTGCTTCTTTTGAATTTAATCAATACTCTGTAGTCAAAATTTAATATTTAACATTGGCGACGGTGAAGCATTCCTCTCCCAAACTAAATACATTCAATAATTCTTAAAATAAAGCTCCACGCCTACTGAACGGGAACAACAGTTTCTGAGTGCAGGAACCATCAATGATCAAACAGCTAATCACATAAGGGATTAAGAGTATGATTCTTTCAGTAATCAAATAATAAATGCCAGCAAACCATACGAAGCCTTACAATTCCCATTCTATTATGTAAAATAAATCCCCATCCGAAAGCCTTCTGTTCTTCAAAGTAATCATACAATATCAACACCACCCAATCAAAAGAAAAAAAAAAGAAAAAAAAAATGGAAGATTTACATACATACCACTAAATTCCTATATACTTCCATATCTAAATAAAATCTAAACTTCAATTTTTACATAAATACCACCTTACTTGTGCATGAAAAGGTGTATTTCACTTTTTAAATATGTAAGAATTGAATGGTAAAACTTTACAGGAAGCAAAAAAGGATCATGAAATCCAACTTTGTACAGTAATATGGAAGCTTCATGGTAGAAATAAACCATTCTGTGGAAACTAAGTATTGAATCTTACAACTATGCAAGAAATGTCATCCTTGCTCTCTCTTTCCAAGGCTTCAATAGTTAGCTGCTTTGCTGCCACAAGTGGATCCTTGAACTTCCTGGCAATATCAACTGCTGCTGCATTGTCTATTACCTGAACAAAGTTCAGAGCAGAAAAACAGATTTAAACTTCTCAAATGATAATAATAATAACCAAGATTTACATAAATACAACTTAATTCCTATTTAATTACATATCTGACACCTAAACTTCAATTTTTACATACATGTCGCCTTGTCTAATGCATGAAAATGGGTATTTCACTTTTAAAAGTTAAAATATTGGTATTTATGATGTGATAAGATTTGGGTGGAGTGAATGTAAAATGTAAGGTTTAGGTGTTAAATATGTAAATATATAGGAGTTAGGTGGTATGTATGCAAATGTCTAATAAGGCCATGATTCTGGTTCAGTTCATAAAACCTTCCATATACCATCACTTGCAAGAATGAGCAGTTCAGTATCAGTGGTAATGTCCACTGGACGAATGTCTGGATCTGAGCTCAAGTGCGATTTGAGGCTCTTGTCCCCAAATGCGCGGGAAACAGCTAACTGACCGTTAACTCTTGGGACATCACCTGATAAATAAAGAAAATAATTCAGGAAATATTTATATATGTAAAACTTATTTGCAAAAAGAGAAATCATAATATAATTTTAAAAATTATTTTTTATCACTCCTCAAGAGCATATTATAAGGTCTAACTAGGCAAAATCAAGAACTGAGGTATTCTGCTTTAACAACACAAGTATGACTGTGTGAGGCCTAAGGATCAATTCAAAATAATAAAAAATCATAAAATTAAAATTAATTCATAAAAATGCCATAAATAATTGACAATTTACTTTATTCATCATAAGCAACAAAATAGCATATTGATAAAAAAAAAACTAAGCTTAATCTTAAATATTAATCTAAAGTGAAAGTGAAAATTTTTTCGAAAAATGTGTTTGAACAAGGATCAAATATGGTTCAAACATATATGAACGCATGTTGTAACCTTTTTCAAAAATTGTGTGAATAAAGTTTGTTTGAACAAGTGTTTGAATGTTATTCAAACTATATTTGAATCAAATTTGAGCGTAACTTGAACATGGTTCAAATCATCCTCAATTACAGTTGAAATCACACTCAATCACGATTCAAATAAGGTTCGGAAAACATGTTTTAACAATGGTGCAGTTTCAAGTATTCAAATAAATTTTTTAACACATGTTCTAGAAAATCATTCTAGTCGCATGCATCAAACGCCTAAAGACAAAAAGTCAAAAAACCTTAAGGTACATGCCTCAAATAAAAAACACATAAACCTCACTTAGAACAATGAGATGCAAGCCTTTTAAGGTTACATGAGCTAGTGAACCAGAGATTAGTTTCCCTGATTTGTCTTATACCCCTTGGAACGAGGAACTTAGTTCTCAAGTAGGGTTATCATAATGAATTTGGATAAGAAGGCCAACAAACATTGCATCAGAGATTCAGGCAATATCAACCACCATGAATTGGATTAAATGAGTTGAAGGTGGTTCACTCAAGGAGACTAAAAGAGTGATCATGTTGAGAACTTCTTTAGATTGTCCTCCAAAATCATGAATGTTATGAGGACAAGATTGGATGTCATGTTGGTTTATCCAAAATGTTAAGAAGGAAAAAAAAAATTGAATATCAACTAAACTATCCGTATCAATCAGAATTTTTGTAGCATTGGTGGAAGGGTTCCCAATTCTACCCGAGATGATGAGAGAATCTTTATGTGGGTAGTTATCTCATCAAAGTCAAACTCCTCAAAACCAATCTGATTATTCTCCATTGCACCTTCATGAGCAAAAGGATATATATGTTCTGGTGGAACTCCTATGTAGATGGTCTTGATGGCTTTCATGCCTGCATCCCATGATCTCCTTTCTTATAAGGTTGGAGGCCTAAAAATTAAGCTTAGAAATAGCAGCCTAAGTATCTTCAATGAATCAAAAGTTTAATCTCTTCATTTAAATAAAGGTATTTTTTGTCGATTTTTTATTAAATGATGGAAATGACAGCATGGAGTTTTGTCTTGACTTATCTAATTCTTTTGTGGCTTCGATCATTTGAGATGTTCAACATTCCGAATCTCCATGAGAGTGTTTGTCCAGGATGTTTTTTTTTTTAATTTTTTGGGGAAGGTGTGCATATTGCAAATGTTCTGGACGAATTTAGTGGGTGTAGTTAGGTGACTGATATTATTGTTAAGACTATTCAGCAAGCAAAGTGTCACTGATATCTTGGTTGCCCTAATTTTCTTCATAGTAGACTAATCATTTTCTAGTTAAGATTATCTCGAGTTTGACTAAGAGTTGCCTGAACTACTTTTTGGTGAGCATTAATTGCCTAGTTGACCATAATTTAAGCCTTAGCATGAATGAGGTCAACGCAGAGTTGATCGTATCATGCATGGATGACAAAGTAAAATTAACCAAATGAAGGCCACTGAGGAGGATCCTCCAGGGTAGTTCAGGATCAACTAATAGGATTTGACAAACTTTTGAGGAGAATCTCAAAAAATATGTCTCGAGAATCACCTGCCATTCTGGTGGATTGTGAAAAGATGAGAGGAATATTTATTAATTCATCATCTTTTAGACTATTCAGAAATATCCTACCAATATAACAAGTATGGTTCCAGTGGTAGATAGAGTAGAGCTAAATGTAAACTTAACTCTTCAAGGTGATCAGAAAAACTTGAAGAGAAATACATCAGAGATATGCTAGGTGTGCATAATGGTCCTTTAATGATCCACATGCTCATAAGGGTCAAATTATCATTACATTATAAGAGCCCATAACTAATGATTTAAACCTTGTCAAAATGGGCGTCACATAATAGCATTGGTGAGAGAAGAGGGCTCCTAAATGTTTTGAAGAGAGGCTAGTTGAAGTCTGCCTTTATGAGGAACTCTTCCTGGACCATGTATGAAAGTTCATTATTAAGGGCATCATGAGTGATGCCATTGAAAAGAGATGATAGTAAATTCAACAATGATAACCAACGGGTTGTAGACCTAGGGTAGGGGACTAGGTGAGTTAGTTATATTGTGTCATCAATGAATGGTGGGGGAAAAATTCCAACTTGGCGATGAGTGGACACCATATAAATGTCCTCGAATTGGCCAACCCCAACAAATGATTGATCTTGAAGAGGTCAATTCTCACAAAGACCATGTTGCAATGATGCTAGTTGACACCTTTCACACAAGAGCTAGAGAATCTTATCTTGAAATTTCCATCCTGAGAATGAACTCTTCTAAGTTCAGTCTAGAAGGACCTCCAAAAAATGTTAGGACTATCAACCAGAAGAGTAGAAAGATGGTTGGCATCCCATTCTAGTTCCTGGAGTTATGAGAGTTGGAGTAAAAGACTCCATTATTGCAAGCATTATGCATGTTGTCCATTAGGTAAGTGTTCATAGGGCCAATGATGTTGACATTATATCTTACAAATAAAATCAAATCATTGCTGCTAGAATATCCAAAGAGAAGGTGAATTTATCATCTTCATATTACATGAAAATCTAGCACACAGTGATAGATATCCTATGAAACAAAAGGCACAATATTTTTATGTGAAAAACCATTGAAGAGAAAATCATTGGGCCTAGCTAAGTTAAAATAGTTATACTGTGTGGTTGATAGTTATAAAGATTCATCATTTTTCTACCATCAAAGTAGGCAAAGTTGTAATGCAGAATAAAAAAGCGAGATTCCAAATGCCACCTTAATCGATTAGGAGGTAAGCCATAGTGTAGGAATAGGCATCAGTTCAATATATGCAATATATATCAAGACTTCAAATAGCTAACAAAATATAATAGAATTTGGATTTAGCACAACGAAATCTAGTCAACCTGGTATATTTGAAACAAATCCACCTCTTGTCTCAATATTGCCCCTCTCCATGTCCGGTTCATGATCAACTGTTACTTGAATGAACTCCCTACTTGTTGCCAAAATTCCTCGTGAATCACCAACATTTGCAATCCAGAGCTTCCTACCATCAACGAGAATAGCCGTAACTGCTGTAGATCCACCCTTCCCCAATTCAGGACTGTGCGAAAGGATCACTTTGTCAGTCTTCTCATAGGCTTTCATGATAGCTTTATCTGGATGGATCCAAAATGCTTCCTAAAAGATACAACACAACATTAAAATATAGAACTTCTATACCAAGGATTTCTCTGTTTAATACTGGAAAACTAATAGTCATCAGCCAACCTCTTTTAGAATATTATTAAACAAGTGCTTCTGCAAGTATAGAGGCACTTTATCTCCCAAGTGGCCATCAAAGATGGCAAACAGACCAAGCTCATGCCCCTTAATTTGTACAAATTTGGCAACATGATAATCTTCCATAGGATGATTAGCCTTCCCTTTCACAAGGCTAAAACCATAAGAAACTCTTACACGTCCTTGTGAGCATTTTCCATTACCATTTTCAGAGGAAGACGGGCATGCAGACTAGAATAGCAAAAGCCAAACTTAGCACAAATATAAGAATAAAATTTACTTGTCAAATGAAACACTATTTCATAAATAACACAGTAACATAAAATATTTTCTAACTCTGAAATTTCGATCAGCAACAACAACAATAAGCCGTTATCCCACTAAGTGGGGTGGCTACATGAATCATTTTTCTCCATTGCATCCTATCTGTCATATTTTCATTTTTTCATTTAATTCTAAAAGATTAGTATGTAAATTGATCAGCAATCGCTAGTATAAAATATTAAACCAATTTTTTGGCGAGGAATCACAAATAAAAATAATTCACCTGGAACTTCTAAATTTAAAAATAACAAGTTGCTTTGAATAATCACAAGGGGATAAATATACTGCAAGCAGAGAAAAGCTCGTAAACAGAAGCAATCAAGAATAAATGGATACTCCACAAATTTGGAAACTTCTAAACCCAACAATTCTCAGACTATTGTGTCTTCTCAAGTAATTTATGTGCAACATCAACCCGTTGATTTATTAACATCTCCCCACCCCCCCCC